GGTGTTTGTAATTGCATTCAAACAAGATATAAACGGAATGATATTCAAAAGGCCAGTAGAAACCTTCAGATACCCTCGACTTATGTTGAGGTTTTCGTGGGAGATCCACTCTCTCAGAGTTTTCGCTATGAGTCATGCTCAAGATTACAATCAGCAAGGAGAGAATTCAAAACTCCACACACAATGACGGACAAGAATGACGTCAGGAATGAGTCAATTAGAAGTGAATGCACGAGAATGAATGAGCCTGAAAATTACAGCAACTCTGTAATCAAAGAGGTGAGGACAATTTCATGCACGCTGAAATGAATAGGATAGAAGTAATGGCTTAAATAGATTGTTCACAGTTTGCTGCATTGTTTGCAATTTCTCTCAACTGCGTAAATTAGAATGGCATCATGGTGGATAAATTAACAAACCTTGCTCACAATTACATTGTACAGCAGTGTTTGAAAGCCTGAACCAACGGGAATTTACTTCAATGTACTGGAATTTCTGACTTTGTTCCGCACATTCGAATCTTTGAAATGTAAATATCGCCTAAAGAACACAATACTGCACGGGTATGTTTTTGTTTTCCTGGAAATAGAAAGCGGTTCTTCTAAACAGGTCCTATAAACAGTGGGTTAGTTTGTCACGGTTTCGGATATATTGTTCTAACAAACTCATACCAGCTCGTTTCTGATTGTAAATTGATCAGGTTGTCTTATTTTATTGGGCTTCACACAAATTGAATAAAACTGAGTTTAGATCAATTCAATCTTTGAAAAACATTAGTTTGGAAGCATTTTTGTCAACGGAACAGGGTCATGTTTCCTTGAAATGGCATTTCTTACCAGGAAATGGAGATATGTTCACACGTGAAAAAAAAAAATCTGTCTGAAAGGAGTTGCCGGTGAGACCATTATCCAACTCTCACCACGCTTTTTGATTCCATTTCGCTCTGAAGTAACGGTTGGTATCATCTGGCCCCTTTTCTCAGAAAGAGGCATGATAATAACATCCAATTAATCTGAGCAAAATTCAAGCCCCTGAGAGACAGCAAAACGGAATGTGTGGTTGTAGAATATGCCAATCGTCTTTTCTAGTTCGATAAGTCGATTACCTCATGTTAAAATCGCCACCAAACTTTGCATAACTAAGATAACGATGAGTATTGAGAGCATGACTTTTAAGTTTGGTATATCATGACAATATAAGCATAATGTAATGTCATTTTGAATTTTCAACATCATTTCAAGTTCAACAAAATAAACCCGGCTGAGTTCCAAGGATAAGTCATCAATTTGATGTTTTAAAATGTAAAAAACATACTGATGATGATGAAGCATCCACCTCCTAAATTCAGGAAATAATTCTGAATCAAGCAGAGAACAGTCCAAGTTGTGTCTAAAATCAAGGGTATGCTGAGGACTTGTTTTTAAATCATAAACTGCACGATAAAAGTATAATTCTTTAAGAGTTATCTAATTGCATAAGTTATTGACAGCTTAGGTTCCTAGTGTAAATTTGATAACAGTCTAGAGGCAAGTTTAGGGCTAGAATTAAAGAATCAAGGAATTAGTGGCATCAAGGAATTAAGGGATACGGTGAGAAGGCGGGTAAGTGGATCTGAGTCCACGAAAAGATCAGCCATGATCTTATTGAACGGCGGAGCAGGCTCGAAGGGCCGGACGGCCTAATCCTGCTAGTAGCTCTTATGTTCTTATGTTCTTATGTTCAGAATGAAAGAATAATTGAGCTGGTTTCAGAAGTCAGACATCGGTGATTTTTCTTTCACTGGACGAGACAACCTGATCAATTTACTGTGATATAATACTCAAATAACTTCAATATAACGTAGCCAGAACTGCTGCGTTGACAGCTGATACCTAAAAAGTAACAGTTGTCTTCATCTTTTCGAGGGAAGAGCTCTGTACTTGCACAGTTATGTGTATAATCAGAATTCTTTACAAGTTGGTTGCATTTAAACAATTAGAGTGTGTGAAACAAAGTCAACACTTCCTATGTGTTTAAGTTTTGGAAGTGACAATAAAATTTTCCGGTACATTTTTTGTGTATCATTTTTAGGTTCAATACTTTATTTATTTTTTCTAAGTCATATTGAGACACCAGAGTCTTTAGTAAATTACTTTTCCCAGTAACCATTAGAGGAGGGCATAGATAGTGAGCTCATAGAAAGTGATTATTTTCAGTGTTCTTTTTAATAATTAAAACAATTCTTAACTGTATGGAATGCATCTAATGTGGAGAGAAATAAGCGCTAACATATATGATCGAATAAAGAAGTAAGAAAACTGGACAGATCTATTTATCTGTTCAGAGAATGTGGGCATTTCTGGCTAGGTCAGTATTTCTAATTTTCCAAAACTCAGTTAAAAGTCAACAACATGAATGTGGGTTTGGAGTTACATGTAGGCATGACCAGGAAAGGGCAGCAGAATTCCTACCCTAACGGACATGAATGAACCAGCCAGTCTTTTTTTTTAGAAATAATTCTCAGTGATTTCATGGTGATCATGAGACTTGCTTGTAATTCCAAGTTTTCATGAAAGTACGAATTAGTACCAAATTGCTAGCCCAGTGACATTATCACTACACCTTTTATTGCTGCTATATATCATGCACAGAAATAATCAAGGCAACTTGAAAGGTAACAGCAAAAATAGAAATTTCTGGAAAAATTTAGCAGGTCTGGCAGCATCTGTGGAGAGAAATCACCGTTAACATTTCGGATCCAGTGGCCCTTCTTCAGAACTGAAGAAGTATCTTCTTAACTATGATTTCTCTCCACAGATTGTGCCAGACCTGCAGAGTTCTTCCAGCAATTTCTGTATTTGTTTTTGTTTCTGATTTCCAGCACCTGCAGTTTTTTTCTTCTTTTTTCAATGAAAGATAGTAATATAGCAAATATCGAAACCAAGTAAAGTTCAAGGATTTTGAAGCTATTAGTTTTACATAATGCAAATGAATTTATGGCTAGTTCAGGTATATCAATAGTTGTATTGACAATAGTATTGTGCCTGACCTATAATGTCAAAGGTGACAGTAATGATTGTAGCCTTTGTGGTTGTGTGTGTTCGAATATTTTAAGAAGCTATGCATATGGCTCCCTTTAGTAAAGAGTAAGTCGATGCATTTATAATACAAAATAGTAGTGATGAAAATGAGCAAACTATTTAATTGGATCTGAGACTGACAGTTGGAAGGCGTGTGGGGCACTCAGTGTTAAGGTTATATTTTCAATGCTCAAGATGGTTTTGAGTTGACAACGCACATTTATTCATAAATTGAAGGAAATTTCTGGGAAAGAAGAACGTATCTTATTTAAGTGTTTAAGTTTGCACTTATCAGGACATTTGGCAAGAATATTGTGACCATCTTTTGACTTTAGGACGTTTATTTTCCCTTCCTTTATGAAAAGAAGTTGAGACAGATGTGACGGGTGGTCTGCTTCCAGCCAATAAAGTAGAGAGCTTGTGAGGCCTTGATCTTTTCTTTCAAAGTTGGAAGTTACTATACATCTCTCCCTCATACAGCCAAATGTTTGAGCTCCCTCTCCCTCTCTCTCTCTGTCTCTCTCTCTCTCTTTCTCTCTGAGTTTTCTCTTGATGTTCTTTCCTCCTGTACTGGAGAATTGCGTGTGAGACAATCTATTTTACTGAATTTACCTTTGCCAAAGGTGAGTTTATATGATGTTACTGTATTGGAACAGTTGTTGTTTCGTAGTTTGATAAACTATAATTCTGTGAAGATTTCCAATCAAGTTAAGTTGTTCCACTTCTTCTTTATTTTGTTTGTGTTTTAACTAGAGTGTAAGAACAAAGTGTGTTTTGCTTCAAACGTTTGACCAATTGAATTGCATCCAGAACACAATGTCTTACACTTGCCTTTAAAATAAGAAAAACTTGGGGTCAAGGCGATCTTCTTAATATATTTTGAGGTTTTCTTTTTCTGATCCATAACAATAGAAATTCAGTATTGCTGATTTATATGACATGTCTTAATTCATCACAGGTTGTTTTGTAGCTGACGTGGCACAAAGGTACTATATCTAACTCTTCCCTGGAAAGCTTGGGTTCAAATCCCGTCTCTGAAGAGGCATGTCATGACATATCTGACCAGCTAGATTGGATATATTTACAGTTAAATTTTTCATTGGAGCTCTTGTGAAGCAATTGTTATTTCCCTTTGTCTGAGCCAGGAGGCCTAGCTTATCTGCCACGTGCTCTGGACATGTATTGTAACGTATGAGAAGACGTTGTTTTGAAATATCCACGAATTAAAAGGGAAAGAATCAGTTCTATTACATAGGAGATTGGTTGGCAAGTGGATTCTGCTTGGTAGAGGCCTAACCATGAGAAATGCATGCATTAATGCTGGTTGGTAGTTAATAGGCCGATTTCGTTCAATTTTAACTCAGGCAAGTTTTGTTCATTGGTGAGGGCATTGCTTTGAGAAATGAACCAGCGAATGACTTTCATCTATTTCCTTAAGTTGAAACAGGTGCAGTGCGTGTGCATGTTCTTTGTGCCTGAAAACATCAGGGCTCTAACCATTAATAAATGTAGCTCCAGTAGACAAAAGTATATCACTCTTCAAGAATAAATGATAATCCTAGATGTTTTGTCAGTTTTATTCGTCCCACAACCAGCTTTACCCAGCAAAAATTATTTAATTGCATGATTACATCTAATGTTAGAAACTGTGTTCCAGGTTTTGCAAGCATGCACTGGTTAAGTGTGGTCCGTAACTTGTTGCGTACAGAAAATGGAACACGCTGTTTGATGTGATCCACGAGGCTATTGGGCATAGGACATATATGCCTCACATCACGCCAGAACTGAAATTCATATACCAAGTAACCATTTGTGTGATGGGTAAAACATATTTTTAGCTGGATGGCAGGACCTTGTTACTAACAAAAAGCCAATCATGTTGCTCCAATATATTAGCAACATTAAACCTCTCGCTTCACCTGTTTCTCCTTTTATTTTCAGATGCTTTACTCTTCCAAGGTAATCTCCTCGGAGATGTATACTCCACTATTCAAGGGAAAAAAAAAAACTGTCTACCTTATGGGCGTTTCATGAGGATGTGCGTCATAAAGCAGGAACTTATCTAGTGTGAGGTATTTTTATTTCACACTGGCCACAGGTGAAGGGCCACGTGAGTCAAGAATAATTTTTATGGTTTCTTATTCAAGAAGGACAGCAGAGAGAGGCCAGATAATTAGAGAGCCGTTAGACTGAGGTCAATGATCGGGCAATTATTGGAAAAACTTCTGAGGGACTGTAATTGTTCAGGGATATCAGCTCGGATTTCTTAGAAGGAGATCCCATCTGTCTCATTTAATTGAGGTTTTGAAATGATGAGTAAATATATTGATGAGCATAGTTCAATTGATGTGGTACACATGGATTCCATTGAGGCCCTTGACAAGGTTCCGCATGGAAGGCTGGTCCCAAAGATAAGAGCTCATGAAATCGAAGAAAAGTTGGTACATTGGATCCAAAATTGTCTTGCAAATATACACAAAGCGTGATGGTGAAGGACAGGTCTTGTGCTGGAAACCTTTGACCAGTGGTGTGCCACTACGATTGGTGCTTTTTTTAATGTAATTAATGACCTGAATGGGAATGTTGAAGTTATAATTTGCAAGTTTTCAGATGTCACGAAAATTGTGGTGTTGTTGATAGTGAGGAGGATAGTCTCAGGCTACAATCTGATATTCATCAGCTGGTAAATTGGACAGAGCAATGGTAGATGGAATTCGATCCTCATAAGTGTGAAGTGGTGCATTTTAGGATGTCCATTAAGCGAAGGATGAATAGTAATGAATAGTAGGTCCATGCAGAGTACTGAGGAGCTAAGAGATCTTGGTGTACAAGTCCATTGATTCCTGGAAGTGTCAGCAGGTATAGGTGTAGAAGGCATTCAGGATGCATGCCTTCATTGACAAGAAGGAAACAGAATAAGATTCTATATTCAGAGCTCCTCTGTTCTTTTTCTTTCTTCCCCACTTTTTTAAAACTTCTGTCTTCAACTTACCAGACACGAATGAAGGAGACCGAGTCTGAGAGACAGTCCCCAGTTGAGGCCCAGAGGCGAGTCCATGGGAGTGGAGGGTGCAATCAAGTTTTGGAGGTATGTTCTTGGGGGCAGCGAGTCCAGAAAATTCTGGAGGTGAATCCATGGGAATGGAGAGTCCAGGCAGGTCTCAAATGCGAGTCCCAGGCCAAGCCAGCGTGTGGGCGGCAAGTTCAGGCGGATCCCAAGGACTTGAAATCGAGGCCTTTTTAAAAAGAAAAGTTCTCTATTCCTTGTTCTAATGATGAAATTTTAATTATGAATCTCTGTACAAGTCGATAACAAACACAGGTATTCTGTACCGAGATATCCTGTACCTAAAATAGCGCCGAATTGATGACATTATGAACATTTCACTGCAATGATTCGAGTGAAGATAAAGGCTGTTCTTTTCTACTCAATTCTATTCTATTAGCCATGACATAGAAAGCCGGAGCAAGGAAGTCTCATTTCAACACGATACAACGTTGGTGAGGTCACAGATTGGATACTGTGCGTAGTTAATGGTCGCCAGACTATCATAAGTTCGTGAGTGTAATGAAAAAGTTGTTTCATGGGATGTGATGTATTGTAAATGAGGAGAGACTGGATAGGCAGGGTTTGTTTTCCTTGGAACAGAACAGGGTCAGGGGTGGGGATCTGATTGATGTACATAAGTTATGAGAGGCATAGACAGGATAATTGTGAGAATCTTTTAACCGTGACAGACATGCCTCATACCAGAGGGCATACGTTTAAGGTGAGGAGTGATTGGTTTAGAGGGATCTGAGGAAACATTTATTCATCCAGAGTGTGGTAGAAATATGGAACACGCTTTCTGACAGGGCAGTGGAAGCAACTCATTTTGCAACATTTTAGAAACGTCTGATGTTCACTTAAATGCCAGGGCATAGTAGGCTATGGACGAAGTGCAGAAACATTTGAATGATATAGTTGGTGATTGTTGGTTGTCATGGATATGGTGGGCTTAAGGGCCTGCGTCTGTCCTTTATGAGTCTTGGACTCAAAGGGTAGCAATTATTCTGTATGGCAGCTTTGACGTTTTGCGTTGTAGCATCCAATTAGCACAATTAGAAAATCAGTCCAGCTCTACTTACAAGATTACCGATTAGATCACCGAGTGCATGTCTCTGTAAGAATCGCAATATGTAGTCTGATCGGAGATGGTCAGTTTGCTGGACAATCCCCTGACAATTACTCAGCTAGACAATGAGGAAAGGTAGACCATTTAACGGCTATATTTGAAACGTAAGTTCAACACAGAATGGAGGCAACTGAGATTTGTGAGTAAATTCTTACACGCAGGTGCAGGTTCATATGTAGCAAGCATATTATAAATATACTGGAAAAAATGCAAAATATTGTCAGCCCTGAACACTCATGCAGTTTAAATGTTGGATTTCCTCTAGAATTTATATTATTATGAAATGTACTAATGAGCATAAGATATAAACTTTGAAAAAAACATATCTTCTTACGTGCAGTACTTAAGTGCAATAATACAAAACGACAGTTGATTGGATGTTTGATGCAGAGATTACAGTTGGAGAAAGGTTTGGGCACTTCAAGAAATTGTTTCTCTGGGCTTCTCAGACAAAAGAGCAGGATTATAGATGTCATAGTACAATAGTTTTCTTTGCCTCTCTTCATTAACAGGGTGATGGCATTGCTGCTAGGCAGCATTTGTTGCCCTTCCCTAATTGCCCAGAGGGCAGTTCAGAGTCAATCCAATTGCTGTGCTTCTGGAGTCACATGTAGGCCAGACCAGGTAAGGATGGCATTTTCCTTCCCTAAAGGACATTGGTGACCCAGGTGGGTTCTTCCCAACAATTGACAATGGACTCACGGTCATCATTTGAGTCTTAATTCCAGATCTTTTATTGAATTTAAATTCCACTATCTGCCGGTGAAGGGTTTGAACCCAGGTCCCCAGAATGCTATCTGTATCTCTGGATTATCAGTCCAGCAATAACGCCATGAGGCCATCTCCTCCCCGTCTACCAGTTGGCTAGAATTATAGAAGAAATAACTTACTTTTCCCTCAACAAGGAGTGAAAGCCGAAGGCACTTTGGAATTTTGGATTCACTGACATATTATCTTTAATGGAACCAATGAGTTATGCTTTTTCCATGGATGCATAATAATTTGTTTTGGGATTTATATTATTCTACATTCTATAAAACATGACCGTGAACTTGCTCTTGAATACTGCATGAGAGATTTTTTTTTATTATTATTTGTGGCAGACACTTTCAAAATAGCAACAGAAAAACTGGATTTCAGTTATAATTGGACAAAGATAAACCTAAGGGACAGCATTGTTTATAGGTTTCCATCTTTAAGGAAAGAACTTTATTTCGATTAGACGAATTTATATATGACACTGTTCATTGATCAGAAGCTGAGATCTGATTGTGAATCTGAACTGCCCTCTTCACTACCCAGACACCATCAGGTTCGATCGGAAGCACAGCAAATTTGGATAACGAGACTCTCGTTGAGACTTGTTCACGGAACCATTTATTTAGAAAAGGTAAAACAGAAGATTTAAATGAAATTAGCCAGTCGCATCGTGAACTATACAAGTATTTGCTATATCCCTTTTCGTTTGTTCCGTTGAGAGGTTGTTCGGGTGAGAGGAGGATAATTCTTGGTACCGAACGTTCTGAATCAAACAGAATGTTTCATACTGGAAATGAGATATAAAATGTGTGGGTTGATAAAATGCTATTTATTTCACTTTGTGCTCTCCCCGCGGAGTCATGTGTTTATGCACATTCGTTACTTAATTCCTGAAGAACTGTAGCAGGGTGTCTTTAGAGGGAATATTGCTGTGGTTTTAAGTTTAAATGTAAAGCAGTCCTTGGCTCGTTTCTTCCATATTGTACGCGGATCCAGGAACAATATATGGCATGAATTTTAACACCAGCATTTTATTTGTGAAAGAAACAAACGACAACAAAGAGAGAGCTTGAGTTGTTTTGTTTTTTACATTGGGCGGTTAGCTTGGAACTCCAGCAGAGCTGTATCGGATTGCAGTGGAGATTCTCGATGCAAAAGACAATGCTCCCAGTTTCCCAAAGAGTCAATGCTGCCAAGAAAAGTCAGAGCGTTCAACATGAGAAACGCACTTTTCAGTCGTATCTGCGCATGATCCGATGTCGAACCAATTCCATGTAAACCTATGAGCTTCTTCCGCACGATTATTTTACCCTCGATGTGCAGATAAGTAGTGACGAAGGAAAACTACCTGTTTTGGTGCTGCAGTATTTCTTGCAGTGAGAAACGGAATGCAACAACTGTTTAACGTCAATAACCAAGAACAGTAGCATTCCCCTGAGACTAAGAGCGTTTCGGGTCCTAATTGTGATAATGACAATGTTCCTGTCTTTTCTGAGCTAGTTTATACAGTCCGTCAATTAGAACCTGCACGCGGAGGAACGCAAGTAATCGTATTGGATAGCATTGAATCGGACAATGGTCCTAATGGAGAGATAACATGGTCTCCGTAGCGACACTTCAGCTCAAGTTCAGGAAATACTTAACGTGCATTTGAAGTAAAATTGAAAGGCGGATGGTGCTATGAAAATTACAGAACGATTGATATTAAAATGAAAGTGATCGACAAAGTTTACGAGCCAATATCTGGGTACTGCGTTGTCCTTGTGAATAATGACATGAATGATGACTCACGTGAAGTAATGTTGAGGAGTTTGTCTCGGATAATTTCAGGAGATACTCCATTTGCGTCTGTAGTCGGTCTGTTCATTGTTGAAGATAAAGATTCGGTGAGAATTGGACAGCTACAATGTCAAATTTCAAATAAGCTTCTCTTTAAACTAGACTCTTCTTTGGAGAATTATTGTGGGATACTTGTTGATCATCCATTGGATAGAGAAGGCGCCTCCATTTGTGACGTCACTATAATATGCATGGATATAGGAAATCCACTTTGTGCCAAAAATAGACGTTTCTGATATAAATGACAATGCGCCATGTTTCACGCAGTCTTTATATACAGTAGGCATCATGGAAAATGATCTTATTGGTGCTACTATGTTTTCCATTACAGCCTATAATCCAGATTTTGGAACAAATGTGCGACTGAAATATTCTATTCAACAAGCTCAGTTTCAGAACGCCCAGTATCCATTCATATCTCTATCAACACTGATGCTGGTGTCATGTTCACGACGAGATCATTTGACAACCAGAAATGTTAAAAAATAATCGACTTCCAGTTCCAAGCTCAGGTCATGGGTTCTGGGACGCGACTACTGCAAGTAATGTATCAGTGGATGTCGTTATCCTCGATCAAAATGGCAATGTTCCAATCATCCTGCAACATTTAGCCTAGTATGAGTCAATAGTAATAAGGATAATATCCAGGATTCCAAACCAACGTTTCTGCCACCAGTCAGAAAACTGGGCTCTCTAATCCGATTTTACAGGCCAGATAGCATAGCCTTTTACTATTTCACCAGATACTGGAGAATTTTGGGCGATCAATCGTACAGTTAATAAATCATAGAATCCCTACATTGTGGAAGCAGACCATACAGCACATCGAGTCCACCCAGACCCACTCCCTGTTCTTCCCCTGCATTTCCCACCCTAGACACTATGGGCAATTTAGCATCATCAATCCACCTAACCTGCACATCTTTGGACTGGGAGGAAACCGACACAGACACAGGGAGAATGTGCAAACTCCACACGCACAGTTGCCCAAGGCTGAAATCAAACCCAGGTCTCTGGCGCTGTCAGGCAGCAGCGCTATCCACTGAGCCACCATGCTGCCTTAAGATGCCTCTAGGCAAAAGTAAAATACAGCGGTTAGCTGTCATTTTCTGCCACGGATACCATATTCTTACTGGTAGCAGACATTGACTTTGAAACATTCTCCACCATCAATGGTTCGTCTGCAGACTCTTAAGTTTACTCTTGATCCGAGCCTTTCACTTGGTTATCGCATTGGAGTAACTTCTATCATTTTTCTTGTAATTTTAAGTATCCTCGTCATGAACGTTCATAAAAACACAAATGGTTTGAATGATCAATACTATTCCATG